ACCTCACATTATCTCTCTGTGACAGTTTGAAAGGGAATAATGACATGACGCATCACCATTTTAAAGCACATGAATGAGAAGACTGAATGAGCTCAAAGAGAAAGACAAAGGGACAGTTAGAGATATAGAGAGTGGCGGAGGGAAGACAGACATATGGAAGGAAAGTGAGATAGAGGCAGACACTTCGCAGGGACCGAGGGAGACAGACGTAGAGAGATAAATAGGATGGGAGAAGGAGAAGACAGAGACAGACAGAGAAAGAGAGACAAGAGGGGAGAAAGAGGAAAAGACAGAAAGCCTGCCTCCTTATCTTACCCTGCCTTTCACAGCCAACCCCACGCTGGCACCTAATACTCCTGTGTATGTGTGTGAGGTGTGTGTGTGTGTGTGTGTGTGTGTGTGTGTGTGTGTGTGTGTGTGTGTGTGTGTGTGTGTGTGTGAATTTTTTAAGGTCTGTGAGCATGGTTTCCTGTATGGATGCATGTATAGACTAACCTAAGGCTTCAACAAATTGCCATTTTCATCATAAACCAATTAATCAATTTCTACAATTAAGTCATTAATTATTTAGTTACATGTCGCAAAAGAGCAAATGCCTTCAATGACTGCAATGTAAAGTCTTCAAACATTCTTGTTTTGATGGTGTTGGACAACATTCAAAATCCAACACCATCATATAAAACAGAGAAAAGCCCCCCAAAAATTTACATTTGAGACCTGGATTAAAAAAAAAAAAAAAAAAAAAAATTATTAATAATTATATATAATTTATTAATATAATATAATATAATATAAATACTAAATAAAAGTCCTAGTCTAGAGGTAAGGCTTCTGTCCACTGTGGGCATAAATGTGTTGACTACTTCCAGGTGTGTGTTTGTATACCTGATTTCCATGAGGCCATTTAATCTGTTTAACAGCCACATGTGCAGTATGTTGACCCATATACGTGCTTGTGCCAGTGTGCGTGTATGTGTGTGCACCTATGCGTGCTTAGGTGATTTCCATGAAGGCTATTATTTAATCTCCCAGATGATTTAGCGTGTCGCCAGTGAATGAACATGGACAGCTGAGGTCTAATAGTTTCGCCTGCCAGGTAGAGTTCACGCATTCTCACACACATGCACGCACACAAATACAGAGTGCACTTTAGTCAGCTTGGGTGTGCTGGAAACAGATGTGTGTGTGTGTGGCAGTAAGGGGTCAACTGCACAACTTAAACGAATGGTTGAATATTATGGGAGATATTCTGATTTGTTTTCTGTTAGTTTGACACCCTCAAACAGGAAGCTTCAGCCAGGACATGGTAGAAAGAGTGGGAAACAGCTGGCCCCTTTAAAGATCATTAACATGTCATACCTTGCTTGTTGTAAAAACTACAAGTTGCAGTTTAAAAAGGGGTTATGCGTGGGGTTATTTCTTAGCCGGATACAGTGACCCTCTCTGGTCTCCATTGGTTTCCTAACAGAAACAACTGACAGCCATTAGCTGAGCTTCACTGGCTTTAAATAGGACATTTAGATCTGAGAGAATTGCAAATCACTGATGGGAAATGATGAACTTTGGCCATTTGCTGAGTGTGTGATGAATGAAAGGAACATTTTACTTTACCAGTTATTAAATCAAATTGTGTTTATTTCATCAAGTTATGTTGACATTTTTCATGCTTTAGTTCATGTGCATTTTCATCATACTGTGTTTTTTTAGGGGCTCCCTCCACCGTCTTCAGCTGGTACAGAACGCTGCTGCTCGACTTGATAGTGGGACAAGGAAATTTGAACACATCACTCCAGTGCTGGCGTTGCTAACATTGGCTCCCTGTCAAATTTCGATTTCATTTTAACACTTTTACAGCTTTAAACGGACTTGCTCCCACATACATCTCTGATTTATTATCCTTGTATGTGCCCCCACGACCCTTGAGATCCACGGATGCAGCCCTGCTGGTTTTTCCCAGGTCACGCTGTGTGACAAAAGGCGATCAGGCTTTTGCCATTAGAGCCCCCACACTGTGGAACTCACTGCCTAGGGAACTCAGACACACCACATATCTTGGTTCTTTTAAATCTCCTTCTAAAACTTTTCTTTTCGTGCAAGCTTTTGGGAATATCTGATATATTTTTATTTGTAATGTTTTTATTCTCATTTATTTGTCCTTATTCATTCCATTGTTTCATTACTTCATTGCTCACGTTCCTTATTGTCATTTTATCTGCCTTGCTTGGTTTTTATTTTCTTTCTTTTTCTTTTCCACCCACACTCATATTTTCATCTTTAACTTATACTTCCACTTCTCTTACAGCCCCGATTGATCACGGGATGAAAGTACAGAATGAGTTTATCATTTATCAGGAGAAATGAAATCCAACTGTGTTTATCAAGGCAGAATTAATAATATCCTCCTATTAACCCAAGAGTGGACCTGTCACGCCAACACTAAAGTTACTGCTTAGTTAAAATACAGTAAGTCTTCCAATAAATACATCTGACATTTAGATCATGTATTTATTCTGAGCAATTTCCACACTTTCTAAGCTGCGACTAGTACTGATAGTATTGCATGTGCATCCCATACCTACACACTGCTGATAACGCAGGGTTTTAAGGGCTGAAGTTATCAAGAGATGTGCAAATAAGTCAAGCCGCATTACTTCTTTTTTGAATTTATTCACTTTTTCACATTTTTTATATTTATATCATGAATCAATCTTTAATTATAACTTGTTTTGTCTGTCTGTTGCCTGTAGCCCACATCAGTGTAATAACATTGAGCATAATGAATTGTGTTTATAACCCACAGCATTATAAAATAATGAGAAAAGCAGAGGAGAGGGAGGAAGGACGTGGAGTGGCTAAGGAGGGGGGGGATGAAACAAAGCAGAAAAGGAGGAGAAAGCAAAGGAACAGTTAACAAAGAAAGGAGGGATGAGTGGACGAAGAAATGATTAAAAAAAATGAACAAGTGCATGTAGAGAGAAGAACACAGAGGGAAAAAAGAAGAAAATGAACAACATAACTGTGGTTGCTGATGTAAATCTCCCCCAGGTTAAAACAAGATGATAATTAAAAATGTACTGCAGGGTCACACTGACTGCGTGCATAGTGTGTGTCTTACTCTGCAGCCTTTACTGCTGTAGTTGGGTTTGTGTGTGTGTGTGTGTGTGTGTGTGTGTGTGGGGGGGGGGGGTGTCGGGGGTGAGATCGCTGTGCCCATTAAAAGGTGTCCCTGCTGCAATCAGTGTACAGAGGCCTTAGGGCCTATTTGTTGCTACATCAATCTGGAGTTAATGGAAACACACAAACACACAAACACACACTCGTGAACACATCCAAACACATTTTCCGCCTACAGTGCTAACATTGTCAGAGAGTCCACTGAACAGCAGGAGACACACATGTATGCATGCGCGTATGCAATTGAACACACACACAGCTGGCAAGGAAGCCAGATACAGCAGAATACAACACATACTGTTTAGTACGCAATCAAATCAATCCGTCAAATTTTAAATGTCTTTCTTAATTTTTTTTTTATCAGACTTTATTCTTACCAAAACAGCTTAATGGCTTTTGTTAAAATTCACAAGAAAAAACTTATTTTCTGCTTTCAACAGTGCTAACTGACATTTTCAGGGTTTGATGTAAATTGCCAATCCAAACATCCTGTACTCTCAATCTGAAAATCACCCAGTGAAGATGAATCAGTGGAATGACTACGTTTGAAAATGTCATGTTTTTTTTCCTGCCAGTTCTCATCATGAGATAAGGCAGCGCTGTAGCGAGTCGTGTGCAGGCTCTATAAATGTTTTAGCACAGAGTAAATTGGATTGAGTACATACAGTCACTGTTAATCGCTCACTAGAGGAGATTAAAAAAAACAGAAACACAGCAGTACAGGACTGGGTAGAGCGCAGACTGATAGCGAGCAGCAGGCCAGCAGAGTGGTCTGACAGAGGCAGCATCTTCGTTCAACTGTCTGACCCAAGACACCAAATCCCCACCAGCTGCCGGGCTGCTGTTCTGTACAGAAAACTGACCTCTGACCTGCCTATTGACGGATACGATTTCCCTACAGGGTTCAGTAAAATATCACTATCAAGCCCACTGGCCCCAAAATACTTTTTTGTGCCAAGTGAGCAACTTTCACTTGAATGAATGGGGCAACATCTTGAAACACAATATCTAATGCCCTTAATATAAACATGCCCTTTATATTAAGGCATTTTGATGTAGCTTTGTAGCCTGTGCACACCAGCTGCAGTCCAGCCTTAGGTACAGCAATAGACACACCACACGTAGACATCAAGAACTGTGGTTGGTCAGCCCAGGTTACTCATGTGTTTCTGATTCTGGTAGAGATTGTTGACAGTGAAGAACAATTTAATGGTTTAAGTTGATGGAAGGTGCAGTAGTCTGCTGTCTTTCAGAAACACACATCTAGGAAAGGCATCTCATCTGCAAACCTTCTTCCACAATCACAGCTGTCTATCACAGTGAATGAATGAATGTAAATATAGCGACTGAATGGAACAGTTCAGTATGAAAGAAATATGACCTTTCCATGATTGTTCATATCACATGGTAAATGGGAGAAAGTAAACACAGTTACTACAGGGTTATAATGTACCAAGCACAATATGAGCTCATCACACACATTACATCCGTCTTGGTTGTGCGAATCAGTGGGCCAAACCGACGCTGAAGTATAAATCAAAACCTATGCTGACGTATCTATGGCAGGACCACCTGTTAACGACTTGCTTCAGGTAAAATTTCAGCTTCAGTGTTCATTTATGCCTGAAGGTCATAGTAGAGCTGACCACCTGTGTTTTGAGAAAGCAGACACTGAAGTGTCTATAGTAGTGTCCCAATAGGGCACAGACATGATGTGCAATAAAGAAACACCACAGAAATGAGCACTTTGCACCAAAAATGGAGACCTCAAGGATTAACACTTTAACCTAAGAAAAAAGAAATAGAGAAGAGCTGTTGGTCCTTACCAGGCGTGATTTCTATCACTGTGTCTTGTCTCTCCGGGGGAAAAAGGACCTTGGGAGGCTGAGTGGTCTGGAGAGCTGAGAGAGACAGGGAGAGAGATACAAGGGGAAGGTTGATTATCAGAAGTGTGCATTTTAAACTGATGAGCTTTGGTCCAGTAGACAGATATCATTATGGGTCATCATAACACATAACAAATCTAAAATCTTAAAAGACAAAAGTAAAGCAGAAAATCTACTTTCTAAATTCACATGCACACATTCATTCATATCCACTCAACTATTAATACGTATGACTGGTTTGAGTAAAAAGGAATGAAGAGATGTGTTAATTCTTTAAAAGAAAAGTTAGAACATTGGGTGTTTAATTTATTCACTACAGCAATACTCGGTACGTCAAAAAGGAGGTTTAATGAACTTCTTTCAACTGGATAAAAGCACCTGAACAAGACAGAGCTCTATCTGTCCTTGCACTACATGTTTGTAAAAAAAAAAAACAAAAAAAAAAAAACGTTAGGGTCAGAGAGTTGGAGAGTGACAAGTAAAAGTATGTAACAGACAACATACAATAAGTCTGAGATGTTGGTAAGCCCTAAAAACAGTTGCAATGTGGCTGTAGAGCTCCACAGTACATTATTTTGTAAGGAAAGGCCCTGCAAGAGTGCTGACCTTTGCTCTACCAATTGATCACTGCTCTGCAGCATCACAAAGCCAAAAATAAAGAGTGGAGCTCACTGACCGTCACACCTGCGAGATGCTGCCTCAGCCGCAGATGCCACTCAGTGCACAGCTTGTCTCACCTCATGATTTCTTCCTGTCTCTTTGCAGACAAAACAGGTTGACTGACTGACCGCCTTTCAACTGTGATGACCAGCGGACACTCTCTGCTTCCACCTGAAGCACCTCTTAATTTCACCTCACTGGACTCTGAACACCAATGCTCTCTGCTGTCCGCCACCTTTTCCCCTCACCCCCTCCAAGTGTCTAATAATCCTCTGAGTATTCCCATTCTCCTCTGAAGGCTGTGTTACAGTGCAATATGTTCTGTGTCAAAGATTGACAAACTGATTTCTGGTGTCAAACAACTCCTCATGACCATCCAATGATCGTATTAATATACCGTTTTTGTACAAACACGTCATGGAAGCAGAAGTAAAGATGACTGTTATTCCAGGAACATCCAGTGCAATGCTGTACATTCCCTTAACCAATGAACTGACACGGTCAAAGAACAAAATTAATGAGATAAATAAAAAAACAGCACAGGACTGAATTACACACCACTACTTACATATTGGTCTTTGATTTCATTCCATTTCCACTAACAACCAAAGATCAGTGTTCATATCAGAGTGTGTGGCAGTGCTTCCACGCTTAAAACACTAATAATTTGGGTTCCATTTCAATACTTTCACTACCAACCCTTGTTTATCAGGTTAGGAATGACAACTTTGTAGAAAGCTACTGGTTGTATGGCAACTAGTGGCACTTCATTCATGAGTGTCGTGGGAATTACGTTCAGTATTAGTACTGTCAGCTAAAGTTAGCAATTTTAGCGACGACTTTACAGTTTAACGTCTAAGTAATATGGAAAAGCCACCATGGAAAAAACACTGTATGGTTGAGGAGAAAGGGAAGGTTTCAGGAAAAATGTATCAACTCTTACTTTGTCGGACCTCAAGGAAAAGATAAAGAGATCAGTTGAATTCCTACTGTGACTTTTTCAAAGTGACGTACAAATTCTACACAGACAGTTTTTATTTTATTTTGTAGCTTGTAATTATATCTCTCCTTGTTTCTCTGATAAGACTCATAACTTCATTTGCATTCTGAAGGGACTGCTGCACCCTTTTGAGATTAATGAAATGACCCTTCACATAGACCTACTCCTCTGGTCTGTCCTCTATTCCCTCTATACCTTTCCTTTCCTTTCAGCTTGCTCACTGTTTCCTGCATGTATAGTAGTATATAGCTGTATATAGCCTTGAGTTGTATTAAACATTAAAAGTAAACAAAAGTAAATATTCATGGTGTTCATATGAATAGTAAAACCATATGCTGTAGGTGTGGAAATCTGTCATTTCCTTCATTTTCTCTCAGTCCAAGCTTATTTGGTTGGAAAATTAGTTTTTTCAGCTTTAATTTCACGAAAAAAAACAAAACCAAAAACAAATTTCATGGCTTTAAGCCGGGTTAAAAGTCATATTGGTTGGGTGCACACAGGTGTATTTGCCTGTATTTTGGGGACTCGTGAACTTGACTGCATCAAAGTGAGAAGGAGGCACAGTAGGAGCTGTGTCAGTAGTGATTAAGTAGTGGTGCAGTGCGTCTCTCCTACATGCACCCTTGTCTTCATCAAGTGACACACCTAACAGATCCTACTCAGAAGTCTGCATGTCTGTCTAGTGGATTGTTTTTTTTATCAACAGAAAGTCTCTCAAGCTGAAAAGAACATTCTAATGAAACCATTACTGCTGTACAGAGCATTATTTTGTACCATTCTGACCTTACTGGACACACAAACATCATATGCCATTTACTTACAAAAGCCAACTCTCTCTCAAGAGGGAAAATTGTGTGAGTGTTTGGGGTCTGTGTTAACCTGAATAAAAATCTGAATATCAAAAGGTGCTTAGTGAATAGATGATAATGATGGGGTTGCTGTTTTCTTTTGAGATCTTTCTACCTTTCATAATGCTTGCTTGTCTTGAAAATTACAGTATGCTTTTGATGTGGAAATGTGTGTACATTATGCATAGTGAATGTGTGTGGAGAAAGTGCCATTAGGGTTCAAGGCATTTCAACCAACTGTGTGCTTATCTCCTTCTGCAATCATTACAGGGGATATATTTCTGGCGTTTTTTAAGTGTGTCTGTGTGTCTGTGCATGTGTGTCATCTGATATGAACGTATGTGAGCGCCAGGAAGTTCAGAGCGTTTGAAAGTCATTCAAGTAACTTTTCTGTGATTTAAAAACACTTTGACACTATCTGAATCATCCTGATCTGATAATTTCAGTTTACCAGGTGCTCCATGGAGATTAAAACAAACACTTTGTTATTGCAGTCTTTATCTCCACAGATGGAATGAGCAGAGTGTGTCAAACCAAATGTGATCTTTTTTTCAGTTTCCATTTTGAAATCTGATGACAGTACGATTCACAACAAATAAAACGTTACTATTATATTATAACAAGAGGACATTTGTTAACATTTAAAACATTATTCACAATGACATCGCCATTTTCTTAGCATGACGTTAATTATTCCTGCTCTTTGGCCTGTAATGTTTTGTACTGCAAATGGAATGACCTCAGAATTTTAAGGACAACTTAATTTTGACCTTTGCTGCTTTCCCAATGAAACTACCAAACACTTTCTGTCTCAACTGACCTTTGACACATTTAGACCTTTTATTGTGTCCCAGGGTTTCAAATCTAATTTGGAAGACATTTTGTAAAAGTATAAACTCATAATCACTGTTATACAAAGCTATGCACTCAGGCGAGAAGATGTAAGTACTGTGGCTCTAGATGAATATCTTCACAACTGATGCTGGGGAATGAGAAACGAGAGTCATAGTCCATGAGCCAGGGGGGTTGATCGGTATCATCAGGGGGACAAATGCTATCATTGTTTTTTGGCAAGGTATACAGCCCTAGTACTAGAAAAATCACAATAGTAGTGCAGGGGTGGTAGCGAAATCACTTTTTTCAGCTCATGAAGTTACTAACCCCCTAAGATAAATGCCGTTTTTGAAATCTGGTGTATATCTGGTTTAGGCTCATGGTAGGGATATTGTCAATATTCTATGATATGGTGCGTGGTATCGTTGGAAAGGGGACCTTTTACGCTTTCATTTAAGCCCAGTACTGAATCTGTCTGACAAACACACATTTTCTCACAATTTCCGCCTAAACTGTATGCTTTCTTTTATCCCTGGGGCATGAAGGAACATCAGGGACACAAAACTCAACAACTTCAATACTCAAGTCACTCTGATGATTCAGAAAATGTATAATATACCCATACTATTTATTTGTGAGAGCCTTAAATTAGACTTGTGCAGCCAGCACAAGTCTTCAAAATAGAATGGACAAATAGGATGGAGCCCTATTAGTTGTAAAAGTCAATAAAGAAACAGCTTGTAAAGTAAATATATTTAATCAAAGACTGGTTTGTATGTTGATATCCATTATTTTATTATCTAATCATCATAATTTTCCATGTCGTCCTCGTTCATCTGAACTTTCTACACAGGTCGCCATTTGAGCATTTAAAAATGTACTTGAAAGTAACGCAATAGTTACTTTCTGAAGTAACTAGTTACTTTTATAATTTGTAACTGAGTAACTAATTTAGTTACTTTTTTGGAAGAAGTAACTAGTAACTGTAACTTATTACTTTTTAAAAGTAACTTTCCCAACATGAGACTATCACTATGAGACTTTGTCCCACCAGATGATACCGATGGCCCAAATTTGGGGCCCTGGCTCATGGACTATCAGTTATGGTTCGGATTCACAAAAAGTCAGGTCTATGGTTTAAACATACATTGTGGAGTTTTCTTCAGTTTCTTGTGTTTCTCATAATTAAGCTTTGTGTGCATCTTTGAGGTCTAAAATGTGTTTTAGCTAGCTAGCAGTTGCCAGGGAATACTTGAAATGTTTGTGGAGTACTCACGTAATTTGAAAAAATAGAAATTGCAATTGAATTTAAAAAATATATATCAACATATTGAATCAGCTTAAATACCTTAAATACAACAGGTGTTACATTTGGCAGTGCCTGAAAACTAGTTACTACAAGTCTAGATAAGCTAAAATAAATAGATAAATGTTCAACATAAACAGATGAACTGTCAGAAATACTAGCAAAAAAATCCTTTACAAATGGACCAATAGTTGAAAAAAGTAGTTAAAATTGATAACTGGTTGAAACATAACATCTAATTTAAATTCAATTAATTGATTGGTGGTATTGAGTTTCCTCACCACAGAACTGTGGTTAAAAAAAAAAGGTTGGGAACATTGCCATCTCTCAATCAGTGGAAGAGGGTGAAAACAAAATAAAGTATTTG